GAAAACTAAATCGTTATATTATTTGGAATCCGTTCAATTCATTAAGTTCGACATCAAAAGAGAATTTCTATCAGATGGGAATTAAAAGTTTTAATGATTGTTTTCGTCTTTTGTTATATCTTGAAAAAAATTGCTAAGAATATATTGTATAACAAATTGTAACAAAAAAATAATTCTGAAATCAATTGTATTATAAATGTGCCTTTTAAGACATATGTATTATGAACTCAAATTTATTTTTGTGAAAAAATTTAAATTCGTATTTAATACAACTTAGAAATGTGAACGTCACTAATAATAATTATGTAATTAATTGAATTAATATTGTTAAATCATATATGTTTTTGCGTTAAAGTTCCATTTACAATTTAAATTCTAATATATTACGCAAAATTTATTAATATAAACTTCACTTAAAACTATGTATTTGCTGAATTGTTAATTTAAATCATATACATTTTCGAACTAATTGAAATTCGTATATAATACACCTTCTGAATTTGTAAGATTTTACTTAAAACTTTTGTTAAAACTTATAACATATTTCTAATAGAAAACTTCAAATTTAATAAAAAAAATCACTTAATCACTGTCACAGCTGTCACATCTATTCATTTTTACAAAGTATACTAAAATGCATACAAATTGCTTATTATACACAATATTTTACGGTAAATTCATTGTAATAAACATTATAGTATTTCAATGCATGTAAATTATAACATTGTGTGCATGCTGCATATGTTGTATATAACCTAGTCTCTATATCAGCTGCACTCGTTAGAAACAGATCCTACTGTGAATTTGTGTCAATTATTGTGTGTTGAAAGTGTGCTCATATCCATTATAATGGCTATATACATTAAAGCAGATGTGTTTGGCCATTATTTTTCGCATAAGTAGAGCTCATTTGTAAATATATCTTAGTTATACTATACTTACTTTGAGTGAAAGATACTCAATAGAAAATTACTTGAAATAATATTTTATACAAAAAATCTCTGTATATATAGCAAATGTCCCATTTAGTATACATTTTCTATAGCAAACGGCAAATCATCGCCGAAGACTAGAGAGATTCAAACCAAATGATTTACCCAGTAGATTTAGAGACAACGAAATATTTATTATATATATGAAGTGGGGTGCATCTTTTCATTATGTCCATTTAATTGTCCTTTTTATTTTCTTTTATTAACCCATTTGTAAAGTTTTCATACAAATAAATTGCATTATTAATAAATATAAAAAAATATATTTAGTATAAATCCTAGATTATTTTTTGTTTACATTTTGTAAACTATGAAACTTTAAATATTCCTTTTTATTATATATAAATTTGTAATTATTTTTATTGGAAGTAATTCATATATAATTATTCAAAAACAATATTTGTTAGCTACGATCCAGTAATATTTGCAATATAATTTTTCTTAACTTTCTTCAGCTATGAAACATTAAATATTCCTTTTTTTGTAGTATAAATGAATTTATAATAAAGCTTCCATATTTATTAAAGGGAATATTTTTTCTAACACTTCTTGAAAAGAATTATATAAATCAAAGTGAATCTGCTGGAGACGTGCAAAGTTTTTCTTATTTTATTCTTTCAAAAATAATCAAATATTTCCATACATGAAATTTTCATGCTGCATATTTTTATATATATTTTTTTTTTTGTATAAAAAAATGAATTGAATTTCATTGCATTAATTCTCAGTTTACGATATATACTTTGGTTAAGTGTTTAATGCTTTTGTAAAGTTTAAATATTTGTTGTAATTAATTTTTTCTTAAATATATTTTTGCAGAAAAATAATAAATTTTATACCAATTATTGCGTCTTTAGTCATTGCAACAAATAATGTTTTTTTATATTTTTTTGTAGAAATAAAAAATAATTTTATTCCAATTTATGAATAAAAATTAATAGAAACTAATATTAACTATTCATTTCTTTCATGAAGTTTGATTATTTGTTGTTATTATTATACTAGTAATTGGTCTACAAAAAAGAGGTATCTTTGAAAATACTGAAATAAAACTAATTCTAACATAAATCAGTCGTGGGTATTTCGAGTAAGCTCCCTCATTGGGAGCAGTCCTACTTCAAGTGAATAAACCCTCCCTGTACATAGTGAGGGTAGTCACCCGTGAGAGCATCTCTTAGAGCTACGGCCTTGCATGGAATACTCCGACTGCACATCCTACGTTCAGATAGTCACAAACACATTACATCTACAACAGCTTCGGTTCAAAGAAGATTTCAGTCTTTTGGAATTGCATTTGTACAATAAAAAAATAGATTTACCGTTATGATATTTGAATAAAATGGTAGACAAAATTGTGTAAGAAAAAATAGTAAATAAAATAACTAGTAGCTGTCATTAAATGATATTCGTACTAATAATGTATGTACAAGTAGTTAAATGCAAGCTATATTTCGTATACATTTGAACACTAATCATGCTAAGAGTTGAACCACATTTGGTTGGTATTCAAACTAATAATACCTGTACAAGTTGTCAAATATAAGTTTATATTCAACACTAATTTTAGCTAGTGTGGATCAATTTTTTATCTGTATACATTTAATGATACTTGGACTTGTTGTCAAATACAAATTACATTTGTGTGTATTACAACACTAATTTTGCTACTAATAATTCTTGCATACCTTTGTCAAATATATATTTCAAAGCTAATTCTAGAGAGTAGAGTGGAGTCTTTTTAGGTTGATATCCAAACTAATAATACTTGTCCAAGTTGTCAAATATAAGTTACAGTTCGTTTATATTCAACACTAATTTTGTGATTTGTAATTTTTTGTTTGTATACATTTAATAATACTTGGACTAATTGTCAAATACAAATTACGTTTGTGTGTATTACAACACCAATTTTGATAATTCTTTCACGCGTTTGTCAAATATAAGTTACAGTTCGTATATACTTCAAAACTAATGGAGCCTTTTTAGGTTGGAATAATATTTGTACAATTTTTCAAATATTTGTTACGTTAATATGCATTTCAACAATACTTTTAGTTAATGTGAAGCCGTCTTTGATCTGTATACATATTAATAATACTTGTACAAGTTGTCAATTATAAGTTACAGCATGTATTTCAATAATAATTTGGGTTAGTATAAAGACGTTCTTGATTTGATTCAATTTTAGTTAGTGTGAATCCGTCTTAAGTTATTATACATAATCATAGTACTTGTATAAGTATTCAATTATAAGTTCCAGATCGTATATATTTTAACACTAATTTGAACTAGTGGAGCAGTCTTTGGTTTGTATACATACTAATACTTGTACATTGTCTCAAATGGCTCCGTTACAGACTAAACCGCATAGAACAAAAAAGCGCAATAAACCCCCATCAAAGCCCAAAGATAAAATTAGTTTTATTAATGCGCGCTTTTGTCGGGTAACCGACAGTACATATGAATTTCTACACTGATTTTGTTTAGTATGAAACCGTGTTATGTTTGTTATAAACTAACTGGAATTGCATAAGTTACCAAATATAAGTAGAAAATATCTACACACACTTTACAAGATTTTAAAAGCATAAACTTATAAAAACTAATGGAATTGTACTTTTTTCCTATTACAATAGAATTTAATAAACGTCATACATCTATTATTACATTATTTTAATTAAGGTTAACTAAAAGAAGTTTTTTTGTTGTTATATCGTGAACTTTCTAAACGGTTTTTAAATATTATGACATGTAACGTATAATTTTTATGTTATTTTTTGCTTGTTGGAAACGCGAAAGAGTAGAATTTTATTAATTTAAAGTCCAGTTGTGCATTTATAAGCAAACGAACAACGATTTCCTTTTTTCTTACTTTATTAATTATAATAAAAACTTATTAAAGTTTGGTTATTAAAATTATTTTATTACATAATTTCATTTCTAAAATAACTGAAGTTGAATTCTTTTTTAAAAAAATAAGCAATTGAAATAAATTTGTGATGATAGCAATTGTTTATAAATTAACATTCTTATAACAATTGTTCTTTTAGTATTTGCTTAAACTATAATATTATTTAAAATCGAACTAACTGAGTCCATTTACATTTTATAGACATTCATCATGATATTTACGTGGAATTTATCCACAAACTCCATTCACTATTTCCAAAATTCTTTAATTAGGAAGTTTTAATTGTTTCGTCGTATAGTAAACCTGTTTTTTATTTTATCTTCTACACTTAAGTACGATATAATCGAATATTTATAAATTTTATAGTAATTTTTGAATGTTTTTAAGAAATTACGTTGAATCACTTATATTAAAATATAATTATTTTTGATATTTTAACGTTATTTGTTTATAAAATTTTAAGTTAAATACATATTGATAATTCCATACATGCATACATCTTTTCACTTATTATAATAAATATTTATTCAATTATTACTTTAAAGTTTAATTGAAAATATATTCATAATATTTTTGTCCATTTTGTTAAGTAAATTATTTTAATAATTATTTTTTATTAGATTGTTTATATATAACATTTGTAAAATTGTAAAGAAAACGAAATCAATATGGTATTATGTATACATCATATTATTTATTTTAGACATAAAAATTGATTATAATAATTTTTATAATAAATTCATTCAATGATTTATAATTTACTAAGAATGTTATTGAAATAATATTTCAGAGAAAATCAATGTAAGAAATGTTTAAAATACTTTTAATAATATTTGGAAACAATGCAATATTTGCATACATGAAACATGTATGCAATACGATTCCAATTCCAAGTACTTTAATCGAAAATTGTAGATTCCGCCTCGATATTCCTTGTGATATTTTTCTTAGGAATTGATTGTAGGTCCCATATTCATTATAACAACCGACGTGCCGCGAATTTGACGTGTACCTTTTATGATGTTGTTGCGCGCTGCAATAGAAGCGGGTATGAAAAAAAAAGGAAAAATTGTTGTTGTTGTTCGTTCGTTGTAAGGGGGTGTCTGTGGGAGAGGACGCGCGTCGTGCCTCCGGTAGCAGCAGCGACTAGCAGAATTCTCCCACCCGAAGTCGGTAGCAGCAGGGTCTGGCAATCCGTCCACTCCTGCTGACTCTCTAGTCTCAGTTCAGCAGGCGGCTACGTGCGGTTGGAACGCGCGTGAAAGGACGAAAGACGCACACACAGGACGATTATGAAACAGTGACAGAATACGCGCAATCCAAATAAACAGTTTTAACATTAACGGACATTGTGGATTATATCAAGTTTGTGAATTTGGCGGAAAATTTTACGCATCCTGCAGGATGGCTCTAGGACGTCTCCTTCGGACGATCCTGATCGTATCCGCGCTTTGTCATCTCCACATCACAGCGCAAGGTAATTACATTTTATAAATTAAAATTTCAACGTATCGAAATTGTTACCTAATTTTATTAAGGAGGTTACGTCTGCTCGTTTCTTTCGCTCGGCTGTTTGCTGGTCGTTTGTACGAAGCACGGGCGAAATCGAAAGTTGTTTCTTTGTAACGTGTATGTTAATAAGAAGTTTCGTTGTGAAATCGAAGATATTTCGCCGTAACGCTTGTGCATATCCATATGGTTCAAAATGCAAGTTTTTTTTACATCTCCATAATTTCGTAACACGAGAAATAATTGATTAATTTAATAATTGGATAAATCTATGACTTTTGAAAATTTTGCAAACATATTTCTTCTCATTATTTTCTTCGAGCGTTAACAATAATTAGTATTAACTGTTAAAAGTGATATTTAAAACACAAACAAAATACATTTACTTATATTATCCTCCAAGTTTATTGATTCGACGAATATTATTTGTTAATATTTTTAATTAAAAAATGTATAGGAAGAAATAAAAAAAATATTTACGTATTTCACAAAAAAAAACTATAATTATATTATATTCATTAATAACATGCAATTTCAATAACACTTTATATGTAAATATTCGCATGTTATTATGCAATAAATTATTATTACTATTTAATTTACAAAATTACAAAGGCAATATTTTGAAAACTCGGGACACAAAGTACAAATAATATAATTGTAAATACTAATTAACATATAAATATAACTATTGTACGTATTAAATTTTAATTAAAAAAATAATCGAAGTATTAAATGTATCTTCATGTAAATCCCCTGTGCCAAAAATAAATTGTATGATTCATAGTAGATGAATCAAAATGATTATTTCACTACACAATATGTTATTAATAGAATTATTATTTTATTCTTTCGTTCATTTGCAAATATAATAAATATCAAAAATAAAATAGTTGAAAATCAGAGAATGTCGGTTTTCTGTTATTTTTTTAAATCTTTATTATATTTATGATAGTAATTATGATAGTATATAAACGTTTGATAATATAAAAAAAAATATGCTATCTTCACTTACATTAATTATTATTCAATTCGAAAAATGTACTTCTTAAAGAAATTGAAAAAGTTGAAGCGCCAACATGGTTTAATTAAATTAACTGTAAAGATTTCAGTTAGATATGCGGCTGCTGAAAATCTTCACAGATTTGCATGGATATTCTCAGATTAACTTGGTTACAATATTTGAAAAGACCTAAACGCTTCTGCTTAATACTTTACAATTTTCATTAAATAACTAAGAGATGCAGTACTTACTTTTAATTTCTTAACACATCAAATTGAAAATTGAAAAATTTGTTATGTATTATTATTATTTTATTAAGTTATAAACTATAAGTATTTTATTTCACAACTTCTATACACAACTTATGAAATATTATTAATATAAAGTAGAGATTAAATTTACTATAAGTCGCATTTTTTACATAGAAAAATGGACTCAAATTTTGGATGCGTCATAAGGTCCGAATAAATCATCTCTAAATTTGAGGTGCGTCTTATAGTCCGAAAAATAGGTACTATTATTATTTTTACAACAATTGTTCAGAAATAAAATTATGAAATATTAGTTATTATTAATATTTAATTAAATTATTATGTAAAATTTACCTATTTTATTGTTTTTTTTTCAGTAATTTAATTGACTTTCTTAAAAAAATAATAAATGTGCAATAATTGTGCATTCAATTGTAAATAATAGTTGTGGAATGAAATGTTCAAATTTTATATGCATGAATTGAAACTATTTGTTATATTTATTAATAGTTTCCTAATACAAATTCAGTTATTCATTACTTTTCGTGCATAAAATTCTATTAAAATCGGTGTAAAATTTGATATTTATAACATTGATAATAAATAATTAGAATTAAAGTTTTTTTTTCTTGAATTAATTGTTTATTTTTTAGTCCTTTAATTGAGTCATTTTACTTATACTCAAAGCAAATGGTGTATGTATATTTAATCATTTATTTGTACCAAATGGATATTCCTTGTGCGAAGTGTAATTTGTAGCTTCCGGAATTACCAATATTTAATTATCATCGGAATAGTAATGCCATAAAGCGCATTACATTGTTTGCTAAACCCTGGGCGGGTAATCCAAATGTGCGGTTCAAACATGAATATAATATATACAAATACCTATAATATGCGTATATACGTGCATTTCCAATTCCTAAATAGCTTACGTGATTTCTGTAAAATAATGATGCCTCCGCTCTATCCATACCACATCATTCAATTGATGGAATGCATTTATTAAATATTGATTTGACGTTTTGCGTTTGTGCTTGGTCGTGTGTTATTTTTTATATTTGGTTTGGTTTTGGGTTTGCTTTGGATGTGTACAGGTCGATGGTTCGACAGTCTCCAGGCCTGTGGGACAAAATTTAAATGAAACAAACTTTCCGTTCTATTTATCCACGCCGCATATTAATTGATTCCAATGCTGTCGTCCATTGGAAACATGCGGAACTGAAGCTACTGTTTTGTACATTGAGCATATATATGTATGTGTTTATATATACACAATTTCGAACATAACTTTCCAATCACATATTTTCCTCCTTAATGGTATATACTTTGATGAAGTTCATTCACTTAAACTAGTATTATTAGATACTTTTCGTGAAAAAAATACAATTCAAAGACACATAGGTGCTGTCCCTGAAGTTTTTTTCAATCCCGAGATTGATAGTTCTATCTCGGGATTTCCCGGGAACCAACATTTTTTTATTTCTTTTATATTAATTCTTTGATATTATAAAAGTTATTAGAAAATATAAAAAATAAACACACAAAACATGAGTTTTTGGTAACAATTGTTCTAGTAATTGAAAAAAACACATTCTCATTCTTTCGATCTTGGTTTTAGAAACGATTTATATGCACATTTGGAAATACGTGTCTTCCTTCCTATTGTTTTATATCAAGTTTTCATTCCCGGGAAATCCCGCATACTACACATAAGTCCTTCTTTTTCATAAATTGTTTATCTTACAATAAATATAAATAATATGTTGCATCCACACTATGCGTGGAAAGATCAATGTTTTTCAGGCCATTTGTAATATGTATGTGGAAATCTGTGTTTATTTGCAATAAATGCTTAATGATCCATGATTACTAACTGTCATTTCTGTAACTTTTCTAGCAATTAAAACTTATTATTATATAAATTATTTATAAAAATAAACTAAAATTTCTTATTTGCATATATGATTTTTGACATGATAATTTGGGTTATTTACATTTTTTTAAATACGCAATAATTTGAATAAAAAAAGATTCAGTGAAAAATAATTTATCTTTGCAATTAACTGAAATATTTCAGCGTCGCACAAAATTAAATGTTTCTTGCAATTATTATACACTCCAATGAAATTGTAATTTGAAAAGCTTTTCTTTGGATTCCTTGTTGGAGGAAATTGCTTTTCTGTATCTTTCAGTATAATGACGACAATAGCCTCAAAAGAAAAAAAGAGAAAGAATACAATTAGGGTGGAAACGAGAAATTAAAAGTAAACGTAAATTCAAAGGGAAAAAAATCTACAAAATATGTGTATTAACTTGAAAAATCATTATATTTTTTCATTTAATGGTTTTTATTGTTATATTATATAATAATTAGGTATGAAAATGTAACAAAAGTATTTAGAGAAATATAGTTATAATCCCCTTTTATTTGTTAATTTAATAATAATATATATTGCAAAAATAAAACCGAATACAATAATAAAAACCACTGCAGCAAATTAATCATAATTTTTAAAATTGCATACTTGTTACATGTTATGTATTTTGTGAAGTGTTGCGTAGTAAGTACGGTACTTGCATACTTGTAATTTCTTAAGTTAAACTGTATCGTCGAGCAACAAGTACTTGCACAAGTTATCAAGCATTAAGAACAAACACCCCACGTTACAATAACTTCACCCATAGTTATTATGCAAGTTTTTTCTCTTCTACAACTTGTTTTATCAAGTAGATCATGTAAGTAGTATGTAGCCTTAATAAAGATACTTAATTACTTATAGATTATACAAGTACATCTTTCAAGTGATTAACTAAAATAGTTGATTCTAGGATATTGTTAATCTAAAAATTAATTAAAAACTGATTAAATGAAATTTTGCTTAGATCAAAAAAATAAGTTCAATAATCAAAAATTACGAAAAAAAAATCTTAAAAATTAATGCTGGTCTTATTTTGTTGAAAACAAAAATTAAATAAATGTTATTTTTGAATAAATATGAATTTATGATTCTTAAACGTTTTTAAAAAACGATAGGTTAACGAACCGAAAACATGCGACTTCCGGCAACGAAAGTCTTCCTCCTTGAAAAGACACTGATTGATTGTTATTAGGCTTCGTCTGGTCTACTTTTAGCTAGATTCTCATAAGATCTAAATTAGAAATTTATTAATAATATAAATCAACAAGACCACTTGCCCGATACGCTTCTACCCCCAACGAAATGGGTAATAAAGATTATTATTATCAAAGCTCTGGAAATCTACTCGTCTATTAATCACGGACGAGTAAATTTTACTCGATGGCGAGCGAATATTTATAGGACGTGGAAAAAGGGTTGCACAGATTTCACATCCTGCACTGGATATATTTTCCAACCCGAACTTAAATACCATGAAATTAAATTGCAATCACTGGAATTTTTTTGAAAGTTATTTCATTCTGATATATTTGAAAAATAACATTCCTGAAATATATTTTTATATTACAGCAATACCTCGCATATTCCAGTTTCGATCAGTAAATTTTAATAGAGAAAATTAGCCAGTTTTTTTTAAATTATTTTGTTTAATTTATATTAGAACTTATCGTATTTTTAGTGTTTGTTTCATCCTATTATTTATTTATTTATATTTTCATATTACATATTATTTTTTTAGTCCTCGGTTTCAAACAGTCCGATTACCCGGGCTATGTGAGATATTGCTATATTT